ACATGAATCTATGTTCTCCCTACTTTAATCTGTCAACTACATGAATCTATGTTCTCCCTACTTTAATCTGTTAACTACATGAATCTATGTTCTCCCTACTTTAATCTGTCAACTACATGAATCTATGTTCTCCCGAAGGTATACGATCTAATTCTGTATTTAATATTACATTAAAATCTCCAGCTAACATACCAAATCATTGTTTTGTATTTCATTCAACTGTTTTTCAATATAATATAAACATTCATGTGCTTTTGCATCACATTGTGGTAAATACACGTTAAATAAATGTCAATTTAACTCTCTTGATTTTATCAATACATGCAAAATATTGCCTTTATACTCAGAGATAAATGTAATTTATTTTCCAGTTCTCCCAGTTTCTTTATTTGGTGTACCAAGCTTGTTATGTTGTCCGTGTATTTCAGAGCCACTTCTAATTTTTAGACGATCTTTTAACTTTCTTTTCAAAATTTAAAATCTTGATTTTGATAATAGCACTTCAATGATCTCATCCTCACTCTCTTTTTCGTGATATTTTACACCATCATTTTCGTTTTCCTATGTATCATTACACAGACTTGTTTGACTATCATCATTATGTTCTAAATTAAATCGATCGTATCAATTAATACTTTACAGTTTTCTTGGTCTAGTTATTTCTCACCTTTTTTGTAACAGTTTGATTGTCTTGTTCTAATTGAGCTTCTATCGTTTTCATCATAACACTATCTTTTCCAGTCATTCAGTTAGTTCTGTACTATATTTTTCTAAGATAGTATTAACAAATAGTGGTTTATTTTCTTCTTTTTGATAATCTTGTATTTTTATACCTGCTGTCCCTAGATCAATATGGCGCTGACCAGCTCTATTGGTATAAAATGTTATCAACTAAGGATCTTCATGTGTCATAGGTAGATGGATGTTAAAATTTCGGAGTACAGAAAACTCACCTCACACAGAACTCTCCTAGCGGCAGCTCCATAAAACATTCCAACAATTATTCGTGCATCCTGCCTCTAAAGAAATCAATGTTTTCATTTTAAGAAATGTATGCATTCGACTATTAACAAATCATTTTTAGATGTAGCTTAAAATTTTTAGTTGTTTAATCACAGAATGGTCCTAGTTTGAACTAAATGAAACTTCCACACCACAATAGTAAACAGTTATCTCCTAAATTATCAACTGGTTTTCATACCGTGAAAAATTAATATTAAAATTACTTATTTATTTACATACCGTAAACATTTAACCCTAAATTTTTTTTTTTACATATTGTGAACAGCTAATCCCTAATTTATCAATTTATTTAAATACTGTGAACAGTTAACCCTTAAATTACCATTTTTTCAAATACTGTGAACAGTTAATCCTTAAATTACTAATCTGTTTACATACCGTGAACAATTAACCCTTAAATTACCCATTTCTTTACATATTGTGAACATTTAACCCTTACATTACCAATCTGTTTGCATATCGTAAACAAATAACCCTTAAATTACTAATTTATTTACACACCGTGAACAATTAACCATTAAATTACTAGTTTATTTACATACCGTGAACAATTAACCCTTAAATTACCAATCTGTTTACTCACCGTTCACTAACGGTGGGGTCCATATGCTACACCTTATTGAATGATTTTATGTTTTTAACCTGTCACAGCATTCATTGTAAAGAATTAACCCTAAGAACCGGAGGGATTGTGAGGCTCAACTGTTAATCCTATAGTCAACAAAGTAATAGGCCTACAAGCAATTTGGCGAATAAATTATTGCTAAAATTGCTTAAAAATCCTTATTGGTAATTCTAGAATTAAAACTTTACAATTACCCGTATATTATATCCGGACATTACTACTACTTAGAATATTTCAGATACAATCTACAACCTGTATAGTATTCTCGGGTATAACTACTATTCATATAGTATCTTCGGGTATAACTACTACCTGCATGTATGCAGTTACAGTAACGCTATATCATGTACTCCTGTTTCTGAATTGATATGACCAGGAGAACCATTAGTTAATATTATACATTAGCTTAAATGTGCGTTGTTGTTGTTGTTTTTTCACATAATATTATCATCTCACTTAGCGTTAGTTCTACATCTAATGGAGAAAGTACAACGTACATAAAAAGTAAGCATCTGGTGTTGTGGCATATTTAATAGACTATAGTTCTACAATGGCAGTTGATAAGTAATATTTGTTGAAAAAACAAAATCTAATAGAATAGATCTTCAAAAGCTCAAAACCAGAACTATTTCTATACGCAGTTTAAATACAAATAAAAACTTACAAAACTGATAAAATCGGGGAAATAAATTCAGGCACTGAAGTGACAGAAAAAAAATCGAGTTTTTAAAGTTTAATTTTTCATTCAAACAATACTAGTTTTGCCAAAATTCAGAGAAGATTTATCAAGTTGACATGATATTTCAATAAGCATATTCACTCAAATAATACGTGCACATACTGAAACGTAGAATACATAGCTTTCATTGCTGCGTAATGTAAAAAAGAAAAAATAGTTAAAGCGTTTACTTTGTTTCTTTGTGTTGAATTTCGCGCAAAGCTACACAAGGGCTATCTGCACTAGTCGTCCCTAATTTAGCAGTAAAAGGCAGCTAGTCATCACCACCCACCGCCGACTCTTGGGCTACCCTTTTAGCAACAAATAGTGGGACTGACCGTCACATTATAACGCGCCCCTCAGATTGCGATTCAAGCGCCCTATCCACCTGACTATGCCGGACCTAAAGCGTTTAAACTAACGAATGTGAACGTACAAGTAATCAAAACTTTCATGATTGTATATCTTGATTCTTATGACGGGGAAAAGTTTTAACTGTTGTTTATTGTGAGTCATCAAAACTTTCATGATTGTATACCTTGATTCTTATGACGGGGAAAGTTTTAACTGTTGTTTATTGTGAGTCATCAAAACTTTCATCATTGTATACCTTGATTCTTATGACGGGAATAGTTTTAACTGTTGTTTATTGTGAATCATCAAAACTTTCATGATTGTATACCTTGATTCTTATGACGGGGAAAGTTTTAACTGTTGTTTATTGTGATCATCAAAACTTTCATGATTGTATATCTTGATTAAAAGTTTTAACTGTCGTTTATTGTGAATCATCAAACTTTCATGATTGTATACCTTGATTCTTATGACGGTAAAAGTTTTAACTGTTGTTTATTGTGAATCATCAAAACTTTCATGAATGTATATCTTGATTCTTATGACGGGGAAAGTTTTAACTGTTGTTTATTGTGAGTCATGAAAACTTTCAAAAGTTTTAACTGTTGTTTATTGTGAGTCATCAAAACTTTCATGATTGTATACCTTGATTCTTATGACAGGGAAAGTTTTAACTGTTGTTTATTGTGAATCATCAAAACTTTCATGATTGTATACCTTGATTCTTATGACGGGGAAAGTTTTAACTGTTGTTTATTGTGAGTCATCAAAACTTTCATGATTGTATATCTTGATTCTTATGACGGGGAAAGTTTTAACTGTTGTTTATTGTGAATCATCAAAACTTTCATGATTGTATACCTTGATTCTTATGACGGGGAAAGTTTTAACTGTTGTTTATTGTGAATCATGAAACTTTCATGATTGTATACCTTGATTCTTATGACGGGAAATGTTTTAACTGTTGTTTATTGTGAGTCATCAAAACTTTCATGATTGTATACCTTGATTCTTATGACGGTGAAAGTTTTAACTGTTGTTTATTGTGAGTCATCAAAACTTTCATCAATGTATACCTTGATTCTTATGACGGTGAAAGTTTTAACTGTTGTTTATTGTGAGTCATCAAAACTTTCATCAATGTATACCTTGATTCTTA